GTTTTGTAGGTCGCCTTCACCCTTGCCTTTACCCTTTAACAGGTGTTCGCCGAACACGCCGTCACTTGACAAATTACTTCCTCTTTTCTCTCTTGCGGTTTTGCACTGTAATGGACATAACTGCAAAATGACTATAAGGGACGGACCATTAGAAAACCAAAACAAATATTCCCGCAAGGGAAAATGAAATGAAAAAAATTTCGTGCACGCCAATTAGCCCTAAAAAATATTCATGCTATGGGCTAAAAAAAATTCATACAAGGAATTTGATAACGAAAAAAAATTCCTGCGGCTCGAAAATTCCTCTCCCCCCCGCCCCCATAACTTTTCTAATGGTCCGTCCCTTACCTTTCTTCACAGCCGGCTCCCAAGAAGGCTCCTAGCAAATCAATAGAACATGCTCCTGTGCCCCATAAGGCACTCAGTTCTAATTGACTATTTTCCAATTGCCCATAATACACTCTGTTTGCCCCCCAAATTTTGCATAACTTATTGTCTTAAAATGCTCTTGGGAAAATGCAATACTCCCAGGAGCATTTAAAAACAATGGTTTATGCAGAATTTGGGGGGCAAACAGAGTGTATTATGGGTAATTGGAAAATAGAGAATTTGAAAGTTAAGACATCCAGTTTATCGGTGCATTTTAAGACTAAGATAGCAATTTACCACCACGCATCAGGATGTAAATTGGCTCCGGCATGCATATATTAAGATAATACGGATTCCTGAATCTGGGAAATTTTTACTTGTGACATCCTTAACTGACTGAGCTCAAGGAATAAGAAATCCCAAGAACGGGTGGAATCCTGAATCCAAGTTTCACTGACTACGCATCCGGAATCCAATACCTGAAATTCGGAATCTACAGCGGTGGAATCCTGCAGACTATCCCAGACTGTCTTGGATTTCCTTACGTGGGGCGACAAATAACTTAACCCATTCGCCCCTGAACCGCCCGTAACCGCCCGTGCGGATCCAGGTCCTTTCTACCCTTTGTGACGTCATCAGTTTTAACGGTCAAGGACAACTTTCTTCGCTAACTTGTGCAGAGTGAAGAGATCTTTCAAACCATACCAGAATGAGCACAATTCAGTCAAGGACACCGGAGAAAGAAGCAAAAAACCACGTGACAAGGACCTGAAAATCTCCATGAAAATCTTGTTCCATTACCCACCTACCTTTCCTTTCACCTAATCCTAAGATCCTAAAAGCTTTCCTAAAAACTCTTCCCACCAAAATGAAGCCTACTAAATGCCCAGCAAGAGAAAAAAAAATGAGGCAAGAAAAGCGAAAAAAGAAGGGAGGAGAGAAAGCGAAAAGTAAAAGTCAAGACTGCTGTGTCACTTTTAAACCCAAAAACGAAATTTTGCTTTCTGCGCATGCCCGAACCTCGCAAGCTGATATTTTGCATCTGGATCAGAAGGCCGCCAAGTGTACGACCTGTAAACCGGTTTGTTGTAAGTTTTAGCTCTTCATAGCACGACAGTGACCAGAAAACCACTCGACTAGCTTCAAAACGCGTTTTTCGGCAAAATCTCCAGGAGCGAATGGGTTAAGTAACTCTAAATAGTACCAGTAACAGCCAGCTCTATCCACTGCGATCCCTCCTCGCTGAAAGCATTCATGGAGAGACAGATTGTGGCGGATAGTGTTCTTCCAGCGTACTCTATGCTCGGTGAAGCTAGGATAGTTATTCTGGATGAAACTGATATCTCATACAACGTGGCGCGCTTTTGGGGTGAGCTAAGGATGGCATAAACAATTATTTCTATGTAAGAGAACGGAGACGAATTTCGCCTTTTTCTCTGCCTCTTTTTCTGGTTTTGATTGTTACACTGCCCTATCTCGTCATTCTGTGATATGACAAGGTTTGTGCTGCAGTATTCCCTCTGCCCAGTTTGTTCTGCCCTGTTCATGTTAATTTTCTCTAAGACTTGGTCGAGTTGAGAGAATGTACTAGAAAGAAAGGTGAAACAGTGTTTTATATACAGTATCTTTAATGACTAAGTGTCGGTGTCTTTTTTTGCCAAACCACAACTGTATCTAACCCATTAACGAATAGGGTATACATTGTTTTTTTTTTTCTTTTCTTTGTTCTTTATCATAACAAGACCATGTGCATGTGTAAAGTCTTGCTAAATAAATGATGACTTTAATGGCCTTAAGCCAAAAAACACACGTCATAAACCTTTTTTTTAAAGTTTTTCCCTTTTTTAACACTGCTGTAGTTCCACATAGAATACGTTCCCTCTTAGAAGATGGTGTACATTCAGGTAAAAGACTGTTGACGTTACAACCAACAAAATCAGCCGTTAAACAATGCTGAAAATCTTGTTTTGTATGTCGCCTTTACCCTCGCCTTTACCATTTGACAGGTGTTCGCCGAACACGCCGTCTCCGGCTTGACAAATTACTTTCTCTATTCTCTCTTGTGATGGGCATACCGGTAACAGCAAAATGACCTTTACCCTTTTTCACAGCTGCCAAGAAGGCCTCTAGCAAATCAATAGAACATGCTGCCCCATGAAAGGCACTCAAGCATTTTAATTTGTGAGTTAAGGCATTCAGTTTATCGAGGCATTTTAAGACTTAGATAACTTACCACCACGCATCAGGATGTAAATTGTTTTTATTATCATTTTGTCAAAAAACACAAAATATACATATTAAATTTTGAAAAAAGATGAGGCAAGGGAGCCCAAGGAAGCCAATAAGGCTTGTGTATAGGACCACCTTTTAAAATTATGTTGTCTAATTAATAATTACAATACTGAAATCGGCAATTTAACTCTAAGTACGCACAATCTTTTAGAACATAGAAAATAAATTGGATCCTGCATGCATATATTAAGGTAATCCAGATTTCAGAATCCGGGAAATTTTTGCTTGTAGATTCCGGATTTCTCTGGGCTTTGGAATCCGTAGAGCACTGAGCTCAAGGATCCGAAATCCCGCGAGTGGAATGAGGATCGAATCCAAGTTTCACTGAGATGGAATCCGAAATCCAGCTCCTGTAATCCGGAATCCAGTCCCTGAAATCCAGAATCCACAGCATGGAATCCAGAATCCACAACTTGGAATCCAGAATCCAGTTCCTGAAATCGGGAATCCACAGCATGGAATCCAGAATCCAGAATCCAGTTCCTGACATCCGGAATCCACAGCATGGAATCCAGAATTCAGTTCCTGATATCCAGAATCCACAGCATGGAACCCAGAATCCAGTTCCTGAAATCCAGAATCCACAGCGTGGATATCCAGAATTCAAGACAGTCTTGGATTTCCTCACATGGGGCGACAGATAAAAAAATAAATGCAAACAAGAATATCACAGTTAAATAAATGCAGCAGAGAAGATCATCACAGTTAAATACTTTACTTATGCGGTTGCGGAAAGCAAGCCTGAGAAAATAATTCAGAGCTCTAACCATGAATAAGGACGACATTTGCATTTTTTTACTTTACGACGCTTAGTTTTGTAGTTGTTGGTTTTTCTGTAGTAGTAGTGGTAAAGTAAATCCTCTGTTAAGCCCCCTCCCCTTCTCAAATAAGCCTCCCCCCTTTCTTTACCCCCCCCCCCCCCCACCCCCCCCACCCCCACCCCCCCCTCCCCCCCCCCCCACCTCCACAACCCTCCCCCCCCCCTCCCCCCTACCCACCAACTACTAACATCTGTCTGCATTTGGCTTTTTTTACTTTTCGCCGCTTTGTTTTGTAGTTTTTTGTTTTTCTGTAGTAGTAGTGGGAAAGTAAAACCTCTTTTAAGCCCCCCCCCCCTCCCAAAAAAGCCCCCCCCCTTTTTTAAGCCCTCCCCCCCCCCCCCACACACACACACACGCCGTTTCAGGGGAAGAAAGTTAATAGCTCCCTCCCCTCCCCCTTATCATTCTACACTAATAAATGCTAATCAATCACAACTGTAAAACTTCGTGTGGACTGATCCACCAACTGGAAGTTCGGATTTGTTTTTGATCCTCGGCTGCATGACCTCCAACTTCTTGTACTTGAGCTTTTCTACTTTGTATTCTAGTTCGTTATAGAGAACTAATACAAGTGGTTCCTTTTGGAAGGTGAAGTGCTGCCAGCAGAGGGTTTAGTTATCACGTTTCTTAATTCTTGGAGAATATATGGGAAATTTTCGGTACTAATATCTAAATTTTATTATAGTACAAAGGAAGGAATGTGTTAATTAGTTAATAGTCTTCGGTGTCTCTGATTGTTGTTTTTGGCTCAACTGGGTCACATGGCACATTGCCCACCGAGAGCATTCGCGCTCGTTTGGCACCGAGCATATTTCCTCATTTTGTTTGCGACCACAACGGGTCGTTTGGCACATTGGCTACCACTCAGTTCAGTTTGTTTGTCACGGATCAGAGAAAATGGGCTCAACTCGTGATTCGGTCTGTATGTCACTTTATGTCGCTCCTTTCGATCCACACGAAAGCGAGGAAAAGTGTGCTACTAACAAACGTCGAGAATCAAACTGGTATCTGAGTGAAATAGGCCTGCTACGAGCGTAGCGAAATAAGCGCCCCTCTCAAATAACCTCCTGTCTCTATTAAGCCCGGCCTCGAATGTGTTTGAAATAAGTAAGCCCCCCAGGGGGTCTTAATAGAGGAGTTACGGTAAAACTTTGGTTTCACCTTCCGCGACAGTGAATTTTTTTACACGTCATGATAAAATCCACTGCGGCTTACTGATGGTATTTTTGCCTTACAGAGACAGTGGAATTGAGATTTCAGAATAAGCGTGGATGCCTTCGATCAGACAACACAGCAGAAGAGCGAACCGTGGCCTGCGTGGCAGGCGTTTGAAAGGGAAGGGAAAGGGAGAAACGCAAAACGCGAAACGCGAGGTACGCCCCGGCCCTTATCTGCAGTGAAAGCTATCAACTTAAGCGTTTTCTAGACAATGTATTGTATTACATTGTTACTTATTCCCCCCATGCTCCAGCTCAGTCAGGTGTTTTCGTAGTTTCTAATTTAATTAATGGCTGTTTCTTTAAGGTCTGGTTCCAGAATCGCCGTTCAAGGTGGCGCAAGAGTTTAAAGAACCAACCATCTATGGGTCCCAACAGTGATATCAGCAACCCAACCGGCATATTTCAGCTGTCGCTTGCCAGTTTCCGCCCTGGTTTCCAGCTACTGCAATCAGCGCCCTTCAGATCCGGTGAGCCATTTTTTCCGCCATTTGCCAACAGCCTTTTGTTCTTCCAAGGCCACTTCAATGCCAGTACGACACCAGTCGCTTCACAGGATCCACAAACTGACACCGCAATGCTTGGCCCGCCTGTATCAGCTTCAGTGAGCCCGTCCTTCCTGACCAGTGTCCCATCCTCGAGCAGTTACGAGAAACCGTTCCAGATTTCCTGCTTGAAGAATCGCTACTCGGCTGATGATTATTTAGCTGCTGTTACTCTGGCCAGTGGTTTTCAGCGAGAAAATTAGTCGAACACCGTTTCTAGTCTAATCTTTAATATAATTTTGTACTTTAAAGTTTTCTTTTTCTGATACTTGTAATTACCTCGAGTCTCTAAGATAACAGAAGTCAGAGAATAGTGGTTTTCGTGTACCTAAAGAAATTTCGCTAAGGCAACACAATTCACGGAATACTTTGTAAATATATTTTGCTCTTGCATAGGCACTGATAGAGTACAATAAAAAGGTTTGCGATATTTACAGCCCACGGAGTGTCTCTTTGAGTGTCTAAATCGATCTGCAAGCAATTGACTAATAGCGGGATCAAAGAAAGGCTTTTTTGGGCCTGGCCAATATGGCATAGGTGAAGAATTAATCAGCCATTAAAAAAATAAGCCTGCGAATACAGCCTTTTGTTGAGGCAACAGAGACTCGGGACAGAAAAATAAGACGTTTTTAGTACTCAAGACGCGTCTTAAATAAGGGCGCACCGTATCACTCAAGACGCCTCTTATGTATGCTCAGCTGAGTCCTTTCCCCTTATTAACGCACTATTAATGTCTCATTTTTGCCATTTCTGAAAACGTTTGTCAAGGTGGCTGAACACAGTCAAGAGAACTCTTTTATGTTCTTTTGACATAGTTGGATAAGTTGCGAATCGTTGTCATTCATTGGGGTGTAATTTAAGACTCGTTGCAGGTATAAAGCTCAAATTTGGCGTGCACAAAATACATACATGACATTAATTACCTTTATTCACCTTTATTAGGTTAAACGTATGAATTAGATCGTTTCCATGGCAACGTGGATGATTGAAATACATACATTTCGTACTTTCATACGTAGTTTATGTTGCTTTTCCTTCTTGTCTTCGCCGCCAAGGATCAGTTTGTTGTTTTTCTCAGTCCCACCAGAGTCTGTTTTTTCAACTCGAGGAGCACGAGGACATGCCGTTGTCATGATCCTTTTTCGGCTCATTTTCGTTTTTTCTGGTAGTGAGCAGTCTCGTTCTCAATCGTCCTCGGCCATTTCGGATAGGACGTCACCTGTCAAGCTTGTGGGGGAAAATTCGCTCTATCGCACTCGGTTCCAAGCCTCCTCTGGTAACTCGGACAGCGCGAACTGGCCTGGGTACAAGGCTGGTAGTGAGGAATCATCATCTGAAATCACAAATCCTTTTTTAGATTCTCCCAAAAAAACCTTTTTTACAAGTCGAGTCAGTGCCGACCGCGAAGCTGATGTAGGTTTTTCAGTAAAAAGCTACATCGATGTGCAAGCGCATGCTTGACACTTGTCATAAAAGAAAAGGATGCATTAATGTTCACGTGCATTGCTTGTTTTTGATTGGTTAAAAAGAGACTATACCTCATTAGGACAAACTTCATTCTAAGCCCAAGAAGCACAAGGCACGTTGACAGCGAAAACTCGCCATCCGACGAAAAGAAAATTTAAAAGGAACCACTAGACTGTGTCAGGTGGGCTAATAGTGGTCACTAGCTTTCGTATAAATGTCTTCACCTTTCACTCTTCTTATTTTTGAACCTGGGAGCAGCTTTGTCGTTAAGCTGCATTAAAACCGCATACTCCTGAAAATGAGATATCTTTATTTTTTTTCTGTAGAGAAAACACTCGTCACGTTTCCTTTACAGAAGCAAGTTTTCACGACTTTGCAAGTTTTTCCTCTCCCATCAAAATATCAGGCTTTTCCGACTGGCAAGAATTTACTTGAAATGCTAATTTTCCGTACATCATTCATAATGTGATAAACAACCTTTGTTCTCTCAACAGAGAGACGTGCAGTAAGAAATTATTATTCCAATCAAAAATTGCTTCGTTCCCGCCCCATTCAAAAATTGTAACCACATTTGCGGCTGTTGACGAAAGGGTGCGCACTAAAGAGATAAACTAACATCAGACGTAAGAATAATGTCGACATTTTTGTTAAATTATCTTAGTAGTTCCTCTAGTGTTTTGTTGCTTACATAACGTATAGTTATATATTTTAGATATTCTATTTTTAAATGTACTGTCTTTTAGTTCTGAAGAGCAGTTTCTACGTGGGAACTCAGTTTCCCCCAATTGCTTTCCTTTACCAACTGCACTTTTATGTATAGTTTTTATGATGATGGTTGTTATCATACTTGTAGTATATCTTTGTACAGTGGTAAATAGCATGATTAAACTTTTTAAACCAAGATAAATGATCTATAACAACACAAAAGCAAAGACAAAAGAGACTAGAGAAGAGAGACAGCAACATGCGTTTGGTGCTCTTGCTGGTCAGGACCAATTTTACTTTGTGGTGGTTTACGTGTCCAGCTATGGTGTGTATACTGGCTTTTTTTAATACTGATTTTTTTATGTACATAAATTATATTTGAGCCTGTTTGTTTCTTTAAGTTTTCGTAAGAACGGCCCAGAATATTTTATGAGAAAAAACGCGCTTGATCAGATTGCGTTGTGTGCTTTCCATTCATTCTTAGTGGAAATTTCAGTGGAAGTCCGCGCGAATGCGCTCGTGATTGGTTTTCCACTGCAAGTTATACCACTACATGAGAAATTCCTGCAATTTGATTGGCTTAGAGCAGTGGTTTTTCAGCTTAATTTGAAATACCTACATGTGAAAATTACAAACCTTTTGCAGGTAGTAGTATAAATAGATAATAGCAAGATGTGATATTTGGCATAAATACCGCTTGTGACATTTCAAAATTGTCTCAATTTCACTCGCCTAACGGCTCGTGAAATTACGTATAACAATTTCGAAATATATCACTTGTGCTATTTATGACAAATATCACTACAAAGCATGCTATTACCTATACTAATACTTGAGTTGCTGGTAAAACACTCGAAAAATATGCAAAATCACAAGCTCTTCAGGTGTGCTCTGTCTCCCAAATGGACATGCCCTCTGACCGAGTGAACGGTTTCATGTGAGCTCTTCACGTTGGTTTGAAATAATCTTATAATAATGTTATGTTTCAATCCTGTTATTGTAGTTTTTTTTACTTTTCCTTCCCGCTTCGATTAGCTAGGCTATTTTGCGGGCAAGGATCAATGGTTAAATGTGTCTTAAGTGTCTAATAAAATTGAACTTGACATGCCACGTAGCCCACGGAGGCAGACCAACAAAATGTTCGATATTTTACCCAGTTTATACTACTACATGAAAAATTACTGCTATTTGATTGGCTTAGAGCAGTGGTTTTTCAGCTTAATTTGAAATACCTACATGTGAAAATTACAAACCTTTTGCGGGTAGTAGTATAAACAAATAATAGCATGATTTGTACGTGATATTTGGCATAAATACCACTCGTGATATTTCAAAATTGTCTCAAATTTCACTCGCCTAACGGCTCATGAAATTACGTATAACAGTTTCGAAATATCACTGGTGGTATTTATGCCAAATATCCCTACAAATCATGCTATTACCTATACAAATACAACCATCGTAAGTGTCGTAAGGGTGGATTTCTACTGTCACCGAGCTTTTACGCGCAACCTTCCATACACTGTTTCTANAGTATAACTCACACCAACTGACATGGGTTTTTTTTTTATTTTCATTTATCATTTAAAAAATTTTTTAATTTACTTAAAAAATCACCTTTCTTTATATTTTTTTTTTTTTTTTTTTATTTTTAATTTTTTAATTTTGTAAATTTTAATTTTTATTTCTTTTTTTTTTTTTTTTTTTTTTTTTTTGAAGTGCTGAAATTTTGATCGTGTTAAAAAATGACTTTCAAAACAAGAAATCTTTTTTTTTTTTTGAAAAGGGCATTCACCATTTGCACATGTTCCATAATACACCTTGTTTGCCCCTCCCTTTGCATAACCTTTCTTTTTTTCTCTTGGTAATTAAAGTGGTCCCAAGAAAAATAAAGACAATGCTCACCTAAGACAAACTAGGTGGCATTATCAGCGATGTGCAAATGGCAAATGATAGCCCAGCAATACTTCCCTAAAAAAATGTCAGGGGTGCAAGCATATCACCCAGGACCAATATTCCCATTATGAAAAAGATCTATGGAATTAGTGCATAATAGTGCATAGTATTCTACTACCTATTTCACGGTCAAGTCACTTATAGTGTATCGATCAGAAATATGATGGGAACTATTAATTTGTTACTCAACTTAATTGTCTATATCACTGTTTAAAATTTTAAGTGCAAACTACATTGGCACCCCTTTACTTGGGAGAGAAATAAACTGAGCCATGCCCACAATGCCATTTTTGCAAATTTCGCACAAGCATCCCTGTCATTTTTATGGGAGTTACCCTCTCATAATAAACTGCCCATATTTGGCTCTCTATATAACCTCCAGATCAATTTGCGCTACATAATGGCCCTTATGCATGATTGCGTCAGACGAACAAATTTCATCACCAAGCCTCGTTTATGAGTAATATTCTTCGCATTTGCATTCTTTGTGTATGGGTGCCGTAAAATTCCGAAAATAAGCCCCTCCAAATATAAGCCCCCCAAACCAGTCCAAACATAAGCCCCCTGGGGGCTTGTACTTGGAAAATTGCCCTCAAATACAAATGAAAACAAAGCGAAAACGGTAAACTTACTTCCAACTATAAGGCTAGCCCAATCGATTGTGAAACGCAAATTTCCCTCTGTAGAATAAGCCCCTCCAAAAATAAGTCCCTTGAAAAGGGCTTTTGAAAAATATAAGTCCCAGGGTTTATTTTCGGAATTTTACCGTATTCCCTTCAACTCCACTGCCTTGGGATTTCATTTATGGAAAACTTAGCAACTTTACAATTTCAAAACAAGGCTTGGTGGTGAAACACTTCCTCTTCTGGTGTAAACATGCATAAGGGCTATTGCTAAGCAAGATTGACCAATAACAAAAGGGTACCGCTTATAAATATTATTAATTATGTTGCATAAATTTTCCTCTTTATGGTGTAAATCAACAAGTGTCAATCCAAAATAATGAAAATTGCAAGCATGTAAGTAGTCTGAAATGTCATCTGTCTCTCAGCCCTACCCCGCAACAGGTGTCTGTTGGGGGGTGGGGCGATAGGGTGAAGAGACAGATGACATTTCGGACTAGCATGTACACATATTTATTTTTTCCATAGGTTTACAACTTGAAAGCCACAGAGTTCAATTTTGTACAAGACTGATGACATTTTGTTATTAGTTACAAAAGTAATCATGATAAAAAATAAGAGACCAAATTAGATAAATACAGTTCTGTTTTGGTTTAAATACTTGCTCTAACAGCCAGAATATTATTCCTGTTATCACTCAAAGACTTACTCAAAGTTGGAGAGTATTTTCCTAACACTTTTAACAAAGATAACTAAATTAATGGCTGTGTTCCAATTTTGTCGGAAAAAAAAAAAAAAGGAAAAGAAAAGAACACTTTCGAGGTGCAGGATGCTGGCCGTTTCGATACCTTGTTCCAGGACAGCAATAAAAAAGAAATGCTTCAAAACCTAGATGTACAAGTAAATGGCTAACTAATGGAATTAAGTTAACTCTATCCTTTAAAATAGTATCATATTAAAAGCGATTTAAGAGTGGGTCATTTTACAGAAAACCTTTGACATAATGTCATAATGATTTCTACTTAAAATAATGTTATATTGATTACCACAACATTATTGTGAATCAGTTTCTATTTTTCATCCACAAAATGTTTTTCAAGTGGTAAAAAATGTAGTTTGCTCACCAGTCAATTCTACAAAATGTATTTGTACAGGACAACTCAAAACAGAACAAATAAATTGAGGAAGAAAGGAAGAAAGGAGAAAAAAGATGCTGGGCACTATTGGAGCTTCAAATGTTAATTCACAAATTTGGAAATCACTAGACATGTTCTTCCAGAGAACATCTTTACCCCCCCCCCCCACCCCCCCAAGGAGGGTTTGTGGTTAGGGCCCCCTCCCTTCCTCCAACCCACTTTGTTTTCCAGTTACAGCTCACATGTTCTTTTGAAAATTTTGGCCTTAAAGGAGCTGTGTAATGAGATTGATCAAAAAATCAAACAAAGGGACATAAAAATAACTACTCAAAATAAGAAAAGAAGGTATAACAAATAACGGCAAATACAAAAGGAGGCACACTTGGACTAACTAGGAGAAGATTAAGATGGATTGCAATTATTGTGGGATTTGAAAACTTATGTTAGCCTAGCAGTTTTTCAAAGTTCATTTTTGTTGTTTGTAACCTTTGAAATAATGCTTTGGATATATATTTGTTTAACATGAAGCTATGATTTTTTCATTCACAAGTAATTTCTCAAGTTTCATAGCAAATAAAGAAGCATAAAACTTTGGCATCATAAACAAAATTGACTATACAGCAGTCACACAGCCCCTTTTAAGACCTTCCCCTCCCTTGGAAATTCCAATGACCCTCCAATGGGTTGGGTATTCCTGGAACCATTCAATTTTCTTTCGATGCATAGTCTTTACACTAGATCATCAAGGCACTTACCATTTGCCAGAACTGGCAGTCCAGAACAGCCCAGTCATAACGAGAACTCCACTATTAACCAGGACTTTCAAGCCATCTTAAAGGGGCACCTTCAACCAGGTTGCATTGCAGTTGTGCACTTCACCGAAATCATTTGCTGTAATACAGAAATCACGAACATGATTTCTGTGTTTGATAACAAGATTGTATCTATGTTTCTTTAAGAAGGGTATCACTGCCTGCTATTGCCTTAGGTTGTGAAGATACAATCCGATTTTCAACACAATCAGAATGTTCTGTATTACAACAAATGATTTTGATGAAGTGCACGACCGCAATACACACTGGTGGAAGGTGCCGCCCTTTAAACAGTGTACACAGCAGTGATGGGTTTTGGTCAAAATTTGGGAAAAATACTAAAACTTCATCTTAAAAATGACTGCTTTGACTGACAAGTTGCGAGAAACATTTCAAGTCAAGTAAATTTTTCTGACTAAATGGTTCACACACAAGCAAAGATTTTTTTTTGGACATAGCATTCACTTAATTTACTTTCCCACATGATTAATAATACACGTATGCGTGACTGACATACCAGTATTCAGTTTGCTCAGCAGCTCAAGAAATCAGAAACCACTAGTTGATATGAGTTGCTCTCAAGGATCATTTTTAAGTCACCTGAAACTTTCAACTTCCTGACTTAAATGAGATGCAAAGTTAAAGAAGCCTGAGATTTTCCTACTGTAAAGATTACCATGCTCCTCACAATACAACAGTATTATTTATACTAAACGTTGCTAAAGGTCAAGCAAAACAAAACCAGAGAAGTGCTAATATTGAGGCAATACTACATTGTACGAACACAGGAGTCTCTCATTGCCTGAATAGGAGTGACCCACAGTAACCAGTGATAGCACCAACTCATCAAATATAATGGTAGCTTGCACGGTCGCAGCTGGGACAATTTCCCTCCAATAAACTTCAATGCATCAGTGATTTAAGTTAAGGATAAAACTTCTGATGAGACAAAAAATTACCAGCAAAACTAGTTACTTACAAGGCCCTAGAGGGAAGGCAGGGGGGACACATACATGAAGGTCCCTCGTTTAAATAATAGACTGATTTAGCAACAGAACGGGAACATCAGTTGAAGATGTACGCGCAAGTTTTTTAAGTGGCAAATTAACCAACACCTTACCAACAGTTTACTGTAATGTGGGTAAACAATTAACCAAGACTCTACCTAGACTTAAAATAAGTACAATTTGGATGAGAAATGCCTTGCCAACACTTTCCTTCCATTTTCCAATAGTACTAAGAAAATCGAACTGCCCTTAGTACGAGAACCTAACCCAAAATAAACCAGAAGATTTGAAAGGATATGCAAGTGTCCATGGTGGCTCTCCACCATTAATATAGAGCACATAGGAGAAACCATCCTTGTGGGTTCCATTGATGGCGTAATACAAGGGAAGGTAGCGGAACTGGCTGAAATGTTTTCTTTCATAGAACTGCATTGCAACTGAGTTTGTGGTTAAAACATGAAGATACACAGCTTTACAGTTTTGTCTCTCTGGTGTGGTGAGATAGGAGAGTAAACTGTCTAAAAGTAGAGACCCTGAAATAATAAAAAATAACAAAAATAAGACATTAAAAGGATGTAGAGAGGAATAACAAGAGAACTCATGTTTCAGACAATTTGGATAGCAGTAGACTAGCTAAGAAAATAATACATGATTATTTTCTTTTGTTTTAAACTCATTATCAGTCATTACAATCCACAAAAAATAAAGGAAAAGAAATTTTAACCAAGGATAAAATTGAAACACAACATTCCATTTCATCCAACTGGCAGGCCCCTACTCTTGTACAATGTAGGATTCACTCTAAAAAGATCAGTGGTTGCAATGCCACCATCTTTAAGTTATTTAATATCCTGATAACAAATCCACCTTTTCCTACAACTTATTACTGACCTATTCCATGTCTTCTATAAACTTTAACCACACCAATACTTAAAATATATGCCACAAGGGTGTCATCACTAAATGTGAAGGAAAGAATGCCACTGTCCTGCAAGACATAAACAGTTTTGCACATGACAAGGCTGATTTAGCAACAGAACAGGAAAATCAGTTGACGACAGCGCGCGCAAATCAAACAACAGGCTTGACCAATGGCAGAGTGGCAAAACTGGGCACCAGAAGTCGTATTCAGTCCTTTTTGCACGCTTTCCCGACATCAATTGATGTTCCTGTTCTGTTTGCTAAATCAGCCTGCCACCAGTATAATGTAAAAGCTACATGTATTTAACAAAACATTTTTTACAGTACATTATTTTAAACAGGTGTACGTTTATCACCTCTGGATAAACAATTTTGTTACCTCTTTATTACAGAGAGACTTTGTTTTGACTTCTGCTACAAGAAGACCAATGATGCTCTTGTTTAGAGTAGCTGCTAGGGAAAAAAACCGGGAACTTGATGTTATCTCATCATACCAGACATCAGGGTATCTGCAAAAAATACAGAAAAATAATGCTATCAGCATTGAAAAACTTTTTAAGTAACCTCTTCAATTTTGATGAGTTTGTTTTATACAAAATACTGAGTGCTTTAATTGTACACTGTGATTGGTTGTTTCCAGATGGTCTTTCAGAGTAGGCAATTGGATTTTGCAAAAAAATGGTTCTCTTTACTTTGTCCAACATAGACAACTTTTTTACATTTTGCAAAAATATTCCACAATGAGCAAGTAAAGGCCCAAAACAAAAGTTGTGTAGAAGTTGTTTGCAAGCAAGAAAAAGAAGAAACCAAAATGAAAAGAGTTCTTGGCAACTAGAAAAATAACTACACTGGATCAAATCTTTAGAGCTACTGGGCAAGCTTCACCATTCTCTGTTCATTGCACATATAATATACAACAAATAGATTCCATTTTTTGTTATAAATGTAGATCATAGAAGTCATGAAAATGTGGTAAGGATATCAGTGGAACAATTTTTCGTTCGTACCACATTTTGACATCACCTGTGATCTATAAAAGAAAAGCAAATGGTGAAATGGAATGTACTAAAGCACAGCCTGAGCTGGTCAATGCATGAATAAAAACAAATCTAGGGTTTGTGATCCTGCTGACTCACACGCTATGTAGCCAGGTTAAATCAACAAAGCCCTGAATTCAAAACCTGGGGAAAATTTACAAACTCTTACTGTAGCAATTGATAGAGAAAAGTACATGCTGAACAATAACAGGTTTCAGGCAAAACACTATTTTTAAAGGCTTTTGAACAAGGCTTAAGCACTCAATTTCTGTATTTTGATGCCTCTTTTGTTTACAAAAACTGGGTACTTTCTACAAGGGGGGAAAAATCACATAACATAGCTGTAAATATTAAAATATCTACGAATGTTTTTGGTTCAATAACATAACTCAAGTCATACGCATTTTTCATCTGGCATGCTTCACAGGGCAAAGTTTCAAGTTCTCCTACTGTCACTCAAAGTCCTTAGCGACTATTTTCAGCTGTTTTGAATGCGTCTTATGTATGTTTTAACTTAATAAACTGATACGTTGAGTAATACAGCGTTGTTCATTTTTTTAACCTTTTTTATTTTCTTTAAAACTACATATGTTTTTGCACCTGGTCTACCAAGCCGCGGTAATCAGGTAATAAACGAACGCTAAGGCTTTACTAAAGTTTGACATGACGACAACAAGAACGTATCAAGCCCGATCAAGTCTGTTCGCGTCCTTTTTTAAAACAAAAATTGCATTTAAAAGAGCTTCAGCTCTCTTGAATGCTAAATTTTTGAATAGGTTTGGTAAAAAAGTTTAACTGCTACTCCCTTTAAAAACTAAACCTCTCTTTCTGTATAAACTTACTCGATTGGAAACCATTCACGACAGAGCCGTTTGACCTCCTCCAAATCGGCTGGGCATAAAAACCGCACCTGGACGTCATTTATGAGCCCCAGTTTGATTGTCATTCAAATTTTCTCAGGTTTAGGTTAGACTATCACAGCATTTGCCTTCATCAAGAGAGAAGTAAGCTGGGCAAGGAAGTTTGTTGGTGACAGTTCCATTACGAAAACGATGCTTCCGCCATCTTGAAATTCAACTGGGAAGTCTGGAAATGAGTCGAAGAAGTCAGTCGGGTGTCGGTCGGGAGTCCTCGATATTTATTTCGGAAGAATCGTGAGCGGTCGGTCAGAAACTTCGTAGATTTCGAGCGAGGTGTCTACGATTGTCTGCGAGGCAATGCTGCGAGAATTCACGTCTTTCTAAACAGGTACGCTTTATGCAAGCTGAATGTTTCTGAATTCATAAGTACACTATCTGGTTTGAATATGCCGAAGAATGAAGCTTCGAAAATCATATGCTAGAAGCTGCTTCTATCTTTTGCGTTCATTGCAACGAAATTCACTTATTGCCTTTGTTTTGCGGTGTCGTTGCGCACTGTTTTTTGTTTTAGGGCCAGTTGTATGGGCTCCTCAAAGTCAAAGTTTCAGTTGTCTAATGCTGATGTTTACCGAAACGCTGGCCGAGCTGTTACTCAAAAGTGCATGGTAAGTGATAATTTAAACAAAATTGGCCACGCGTGGTCACTTTTTCTCTTCTTCACAGATTCACTTCTCGTTTGTAATAGCCTTCATTTGTTTATCCGCACCCCTCCCCCCTAAAAATGACTGGTGTCCGAACCCTCAAATATTTGTCGCCGCCCTTTGAAAAATGAATGAAATCCGAGGGGTTTATTTTTTGTCAGCTCCTTTGCAAATTTTTTTATTTTGTCGGCTTCTTTGGAAAAAAAGGGGGGGTTGCGGATAAAAATGGAACGTCCCTTAGGGGTTAGGGGACAGGAGAGAGGCTGTCCCCCCTTTTTGCTTCTCTCTTCTCCCTTTCCCCTAGAAACACCTTATACTCAGGCTAAGCTACTTCTTCTTCCATCACCACTTGGACTTACTTAGCCCTAAACAGGCATGTGATTAGTCTAGCCTAGACCAGATGCCAAACTTTTATGAGACAAACCAAACATCTACTTTGGGTAACTTAAATTAAGTTAATTTTCTCCTGAACGAGACTAAAGATACATTATCATACACATTCTTCATTTATTAGTTTAGTTCGTCACATGTGAAGATCGACATTCAGTCCCAGAGACGAGCTTCAGACGTCCTATCCGTCTGAAGGAGACAGTTATAACGTGTTGGTCAATCCAGACTCATTCAGACAAACTTAACTGAGCCAAACGTCAAACTTTTCATGAACTTAATGCACTAAGTTTGGTTTGTCTCATGAAAAGTTCAACGTGTGGCCTAGGCCTTAAATAGGGTTGGCAAATTCAATATTTATCTTCTTGAAGGGTGTGCCTTTCTATATGTGTGTGGTACCAATGACTTTTTAAAAATCTGTTTCTGTGATGTCAGTTCAATGCGCATCATTGTCATCAGATTGCTCCAAGGGTAGAACCCCTGGCCAACCAGGGAGATTGTAAAATTGGTGGAGCAAAGTTGTGAATTTTCCCTAGGGGGGGGTAAATAAAGACAAAGGAAGACAAAGGCCCCTGGATGGGTCACTGAGAGTGATTTCCAGCTTCAAATCCCCCTGAAATCCAAGTCAACTGACGGGGATTTATTTGATTGAGACAGTTCTGTCAACTCTCCTGGATAATCCGGGGGACTCCAGATTTTGAAGCGAATCAGATCAGATCCGACTACAAATATTTGTATAAAATTTCAACTATTAATTTTGCATTGTTTGAGCTGTTTTCATGTTTTTAACATCGAACATTTCCTGATAAAATCTTCCAGTATGCCATTGAAATAATGTGATTGGTGGGAAGGAAACCAATCTGATCATATTGTTTTACAAGGCAAAAACATCCTTTTCATGCATTTTGTGTCATCGCAAATTCGTGACGGTCAGAGAGTATTTTATGCACAAATGACATCACGTGCCTTGCATTATGACGGCATCTACCATTCCTTCCCTATCAATTGTCAGTATTTGAGTACATGGGTCGTTGTGACAGCCCTCCTGAGGGAACCTTTTTGTGATAGTACAGTGGGACCTCTATATATATATCAAACCCCTGTATAACAAAGTTTTAGGTATAACAAACATTAGGAAAATCCAATTAGTGTTCTATTATCAATGCTTCGTTCTGATTGGTTGAGCTACTGCTAGGCTATATGTTAGATTCCACTAGTAGGGGGAAAGCACCGGCTCTGAAAACCAAAACAATGGCGGCTGAATTGTGTTTTGCTAGCTAAAATTGTTTTGTCTCAATATTTTTGACCAACTGGTTGGATTTTACTCATGGCTGCTAAGTCAATAGCCCATTCGGCCTTCGGCCTCATGGGCTATTGACTCAGAGCCCCTTTGGGCTTGAGGAATAATTGGTTAAATATTCCTTCACACCAGTCTAAGTAAAACATAATAGGGGTAGGGGTCAAGAAAGGTCCTCGTCAGGGAGAAGTAGACTTTCTTGCTGAGCAAGTAACTTTTGAAAATTCACTGGGCAAGGTCTAAGCAAGTCATCTTCTAACTAAATCAGTAATTAAGACAAGCAACAAGTGGCCCCGAGCAAGCAAAAATTATGTGAGAGCTGGAATTCAAGTATTCTTTTTTTGAGCCTGGGCTAAGGAACTGTTTTAGGCCCACAGTACTCTGGTAAAATTATTTAGTTGATTGCTTGTTAACTTGTAGAAAATGGCTGCAACAATCACATTGTTCATGGTTGGTGACGTGATGTTAGGACGAGGGATTGACATGATCTTGGAACACTCCAATAATCCCATTCTGTATGAGAGTAATGGCCTTGATGCAACAGACTATGTTACTATTGCTACAACACAAACTGGACCTATACCCGACAGAAGGGAACGACAAGTGGATTATGTCTGGGGAGATGCAATTCAAATACTGAAAGAAAAGAAACCGGATCTAAGAATAATTAACTTAGAAACTTCAGTTACGACAAGTGCTACACCTTGGCCTATGAAAGGAATCCATTACCGCATGCACCCCAAGAATGTGAATGTTATTCAGTCAGCTGATATTGACTGCTGTGTCCTGGCTAATAATCATGTTGCAGACTGGGGATTTCCTGGTCTTATTGAGACCCTGGATACCCTCCATGATGCAGGGATTAAATTCACAGGAGCAGGACGCAATTCTACTGAGGCAAAGGCACCAGCCATTTTTCAGCTGACCAGTGGTACAAGGGTGTTGGTTTTTTCATCTGGTCATTTCTCAAGTGGAGTTCCTGATTCATGGGAAGCCAAAGCTGACAGAGAAGGTGTTAACATTCTTGAGTTCTACCAAGCTGGGAAAGCAGCAGCCTTGCTGAAGGAACAAGTTGAACAGTACAAAGAGGAAGGTGATGTTGTTGTCTTATCTGTTCACTGGGGTGGAAACTGGGGCTGGAATGTTGATTCTTCTTTTGTCAAGTTTGCACACAAGGCCATTGATGAGGCTGGAGTTCATGTCATTCACGGGCATTCATCTCATCATGTCAAAGGCATAGAAGTGTACAATGGAAAGCTTATTATTTACGGTTGCGGTGACTTTTTAAATGACTACGAAGGAATCACAGGTCATGAGGGTTATCGCGATGATCTTGCTCTGATGTATTTTGCAGATATAAATCCTGCAACTGGCCTTTTGGTTGGGTTGAGAATGGTGCCAACACAGATCATGCACTTACGAGTTAACAGAGCCAAGGAGGAGGGAATCAAATGGCTTATGAAGACAATGTCAAAAGAGTGCAGGAAGTTTGGCTGTGATGTGGAAAGAGTTGATGGTGAACTTCATTTGGTGTTTTGAATTCACCGGTGAGCATGACTGCAGAGGCTTGACCCTGTAATGGAAATAGGTGTTCGGGTTCCACAGAAAACTGAAGCAGTTTTTGGACACCTAAAAACAAACTGGAACATTTCAAGATCTTCATGTAGCAACCGCAGTTTCTCTAATGCTTGCATGTTAGGGCTCTGTTATCATCTGCAAAAGTAAAGCATGCTCTTAAATTGAGCTACAGATGCAGATGCTCATAGAGATACATGTGTGAACCAGAAACTGACAAACTCTGAATTCATTTGTCAAGCCACTTAATTTACAGAAGAGGCCTTCACTCATTTTTGTTCCTACATAAGTGTTTCATTCAGGTTTCCATTAATTACCTAATCACTTGTGTATAGGTCACAGCCCTTCCAATGGCTGTGATTGGAACCATTTTAGTTGTTGAGTATAGTGACCCTACAATAACAAGGAAGAAAGCTCCTAACCTCCTACGCAGACTTTCTTTTGGCTCGTCATGCATTCCCCTCCCCTCCCCCCCTCTTGTTAAGGCAGGAAAGCGTTACAAACCTCTAAGGTAATCTGCGTTGGAAGCTAGAAAGCATCCTGTCCAACTGGGATTTAAGCAGCACTTGTCGTTCTTTTACAGCTGTTTCTAATAGCATGCGGCCTGCAATGCCAGAATTTCAGACAACTACATCACTCAGTTGCGTGTGGGAGACCACCACCCTTGATTTATTGTGACCATGTGGCTTGAACATGTTGTAGTTTATGTAGGCAAAATGAAAAAATCTAAAATGCTTGGCATTTTCATTTTCGTCATCATCATCATTATTATTATTATTATTATTATTATTATTATTATTATAAAAATTAAACCTAAGGCAGAATTGATCCACAACATATACATTTGATTAACCTGCGATCAGGTCCTTCTTCTCTTTTTGTTTGGGAGACAATGTGTGCTTTCCCTGGTAGTGACAGCCCTGCTGAGGGAACTTTTTGCAGGGGCGGATCTAGGGGGAGGGTGCAGGGGGTGCGCACCCCCCCCCCCCCCACCGAGATGACCTGCGGCCTAAGTCAATAGCTCATTCGGCCTTCTTCCCCATGGGCCATTGACTCAGAGCCCATTTGGGCTCGAAGAACAATTGGTTAAAAACTCCACACCAGTCTAAGTAAAACATAATAGACTATCCGTGCTTTTCCTGAAAAAGAACGCCTGATTGCATGTTAACATCCCGGGTTGGGGGGGGGGGAGTTTTGTATCCCTTTTAACTGCTGTAATTGCACTTCCTTTTGAATATGACTAAATCACAGACTTTTTGCGCAGCCATAAAATGTATCTGTTAGCCCCTTTGGGCCTTTTTACAGACCGAAATGACAAATTTCCAAGTCATTTTTTTCTGGTGAAAATTTGTCAAGTTCCACTCAGGATAAGAGCTACAATTAGTATAGATATTAACTTGCATGTAAAGCGGGAAAGAGTATTTTACGTTGTGTTTAAAAGGGCACTCTCTAATGTACAGTCAGGACAAAAAATGCATGGCCTGAAATCGAATTAGTCTTTAATGCCTCCGGCCCCAGTTCATGTTGGACATGCAAACAGCAGTCAGTTGGAGAATTACATCTCGTTTTTCCTTATAGTGGACAGTCCGATGTTCTTTCACTCTCGGACAGTTTGACGAAATGGAGATGCCTTAGAAAGGTGGGTGTTGACTTCATCGTGGGAACAGATTGCTCTTGGCAGTGTCCCAAACGGGTGAATTGCAGGCTCTGAAGTGTACATTTTCTCCTTAACAAGACCAACATCCTCTTATCACCAGAGACCACCCATAAAGCAATCATCTGAACTGGCACCAGCTTGTGTTAACACTCTAAGTCCTAAGAGTGTCCGAATTCAATTTTCTCCTAACAATTTCAATATCTAATAAAGAGGAAAGGTTACGAGAATTAACAGAATGATCATTAAAGAAAAATGCATTGATCTTTAAACAATTTCTCTCAACTAATTTTTTTAAGGAAATGTATGGAGGCCAGTTAGGAGAACTTGTATGTTGATCTTGGAGCTGGAAGAGTTAAAAACCCTGATGATGGTGTGGTTGGGTTAAGAGCCCATGAACTCCCCGCTGCAGACCAGCAAGCCAACTGAGCCAGTGGAAGTTTTTAAGTCTTCAAGAAAGTTTTTCAAGTGACAACAAATTCGGAATCGAGCGATATAGAGAAAACTTGAGAAATGCTTTCCCGTAAAAAATACCACAAGTGTGTTTTCGTTATTGTCTCAAGTCTTCTCTGTTGTGATACTTCACAGTATCCCACACACATCTGAACCATTCTATGACTAGGTATATCACATTTCAACTGAACTTCAAATAAAATATAGCAAAGAGAACAAAACGCAACATATTAAAACTTTTTTTTTTTAAAAATTCACGTGGTTTTCCCATGCATTCGCAAAGATCAAAGTTTACCAACATCGAAGAACGCACGCTTCAAGAAAAGATAAGTGGATTGGTGTAACACATTGGTTGCACTGCTCCTGACGCTCATTACCTTGGGAAAGGTGAATAAAGTGGGTGGTCACTAGGAGTGCATACGAGAACTTGAAAAGACGCGCTACACCTCAGCTTAAGGGTCAATCAATCAACAACTTTATTTAAGTGTCTAATCTTCTAGCTTGCCGTCAGGCCTACTAATCGGGGACACTAAAGGGATGCAAAATTGTAAAACTACTAAACATGATATCAGGACAGAAGATGTTAGAATATTTGAAACAGATACCCCGGTGCCAAACGCCGAGTCTAACACTGAACAGGGTTGGGGGCGTGGACCTGTCTCCTATATACGACGCGTTAAATGTTCATGATGTACGAACGTCAAGTGACCGACAGCTAAATCAATCACTCGGTTGATGTGATAACGTTGAAATATTTCTGTGCGACTCGAAACACAAATCGGATTTCAAGTCAATTCGATATGCCATACGTTCATCTGGCAATGGCTGCACAGCCCGTGGGGCTGTTCCTCCTACCAACGATGGTTCTACAACAGCTTGTGGACGGCAGTACCTACAGCGTAGCAACTTCAGAAATTCCCTGCGAAAATTCCTGTTTAGCACGCCGTAAATAAAAGGATTCAAAGCAGCACTTAAAGTTGCCAAAACGCTGTATGCTACGTAAGCCTCACGAGGAAAGGTCCACATCCCGCTTATTATGTCCACAAGGTCGATCACCAAAACTGGTGTCCAACACAAATTAAAAAACACCACTATTACAAATAACGTGCGCGCCACCTTGACTTCCTCCACGTTTACAGCGTTAATTCCACTACCGGAGAGATGAAGGTTATTGTTGTGACTGCGAACTGTCTTGAAGATTCTAAAGTAGAAGTAAAAGATAATACAAGATGGAATTCCAACCAAAACTGTCTCGAAGGAGATCAGTGCAGTGGTGTCAATGTTGAGAAAGCAGATGAACTTGCCCGGGTGAAAAATCATTTTGTGCCCACTGAGGACGTAGGGAAACGGAACTAATATGGAATAGAGCCACGACACAAGGATCATGACCATGGCTTTCTTTTTGGTGAAGTGGCGGCGGTATTTCGATGGTTTGACGATTCTAAAATATCTGTTCACCGCCATTAAGGCCATTGTGTGAATCGATGCAACACTCAAGGCGATAGTTATGTAGCCTTGATATTGACAGGTTGTGTGATTAAAAGGCCATTGAGATAACACCGATACAGGAACACCCAAGGGACATACCATGAAAACACCGAACGATAAGTCCGAAACAACGAGTGATGTTACGAACATGTTCGGAATTGTTCGCATCCGAGGGTTTAGTATCATAACCAGGAGTGTTAACACGTTTCCAACAAACAAAAACAACAAAATAAGCCCGAAAACTCCTGTTTCCAGAATAACTTTTTCCTTGCTTCTTGACTTAAGTTCATTTAACATGTCTTCCAATTGCTTCGCTCTGGAATCCTCGGAATCCATCTTGGCTCACTCAGTTATAGCTGAAAAAAAAAGAGGGGGAAACAAAGAATTGAACGTAACAAGGACGCAAAGGGATATATTTATTATTTATTTGTTTTAACAATTTAGTCATGGTTGGTGGTAATCTGTCCCTCAAGTACAACCCATATTAGTGTAAAAAAAATGTCTAAACAACTCTCATGGAAACCCCTAAGAAAATGGCTGATTGAGTAACTAAAAATAAAGAATTTCAATTGAGGGTGCCTATATATCGAGCCAGGACTCGACAATTTTTCACTTTCCCGCCATTTTCACAAGCACTATTTTAATAAGAGGAGGGTTTTCGTGGCAATCTTGGAAGGAAAGCCCGAGTTAGGGTTAGGTTAGGGTGAGGGTTAGGGTAAGGTTAGAGGTAGAGTTAGGGTTAGGTTTAAGGTTAAGTTACGGTTAGAGTTAGGTTAAGGTAAGGGTAGGGTTACGGTGAGGGTAATACGAGTTACGTAAGGAGTCCTTTTTGTTGCTTCATTTTACTTTTGTTTATTTGTTTATGAATGATTTTCATTTTTTTTTTTTTTTTTTGCGTAGAGAAAGATTAGAAAAGTCCTAACTGGACTCCAGGCTGGAAAATTCTTGCTCGAGTCCTGGCTCGAGTCCTAGCTCAAGTCCTGGCTCGAATCCTGGCTTTCATGTTAGTTTATCTCATTTCAATGAAACAAAAGTTGAAATCAGCTGGACAACTTAATCCGTTAAGTTAAAACATTGACCAGTTTTTCAGTTACTGGCGGTTGAGAAAAGTATGGTTTTTATTAACTGTGTGTTTGAATAATGTTTGTTGGTTGTTTCTTTGTTGTTGAATATTGAGTAGGTGTTCGCATTACGCGGGCGAAAAAGGGAAAACTGCCATTAATATGACTACGAGTTACACAAGTAACCTTTTCTTGTTGTGGAATACTGAGAAGCAGGACACATATTAAGGCGAGAAGAGGGAAACGATAACCCACTAGTATAACTATGTTATATTAATAATAAATTGTCAAAATCCTTACATCGTTATGTACAGTATTTACAACACAAGCTTTGAAATTTTACCTCAAACGGAGCGGGCTGTCAGGGACGAACACTACACTTATCTGAAAAAATAGAAATACTTCAACTTCATTTCAAAAAGAATTTAAATATTGGATTCAGGCAAAGCACTCTATAAATATGATATTCTTAAACACCTTCTGAACTCGTGCATTAGTACACTGTACATTTCTTGGCGGTTTCCGTCCTCCAATCTCAGAATTGTAAACGCTAATTTAAACACCGTAGCCTAAAAGTCACCAATGTTAAAACATGTTCAGCAAGGCAATTTTTCATATATTCTTTAAGCGGCAATTGCAAGTATCTGTACCCTTCACGAAATAATGAAATGAATCTTGAATTTAGCA